TGTTCTTGCTTTTCCTGGTTTCATTGCACTAGCGAGGTTGGCCAGGGCATCGGCATGGTTGTTGTCATCTCGGCCGACTTGCTGTAGTCAGCAATTTCGGAACAATGCCATCAGTCTGCCCACTTCCTTTAAATATGCTGACATCCTTTCATCTCGGGCTGCATACTCGCCTGTTACCTGTTGACTATAAGCTGGGGGTCGTAGAAGACTATTACCTCTTCAGCTTCCATGGCTGCTGCTAGCTTTAATCCTACTATTAGTGCTTCATACTCTACTTCATTGTTTGAGGCCTTAAACTCCAAATGAATGGATTGCTCCAGTACCTACCCATCTGGAGATGCTAGTACTACTCCTACCCCCGCTCCTTGTCAGTTTGAACTTCTATCAACAAACAGCCGGAAGAAGTCGCCGATGTAAATACTGCGGGGCCTGAGTTTTTCTTCCATCCTTTGTTCTGCTACCCACTACTGGGTTTTTCCTTGCTCATTAGGACGTTGTATACGTTGGCTCAACGGAGCCCGATGTATGACTACGCCTGGTGTGAACTCGGCCACGAAGTCGGCTAAGACTTGTCCTTTGATTGCTATCTTGGGTCTGAATTCCAAGTTATATTGGCCCAACATTACTGCCCATCTGGCTATTCTGCCTGTCAGATCTCCCTGTTACAATAGGGACCTCAACGGATGTTCAGTTTACACCACAATTTTGTGGGCTTGAAAGTAGTGATTGAACTTCTTGGAGGCCATTACTAAGGCAAATGTTAACTTCTTCACGGGTAAGTACCTGGTCTCTACATCTGCCAGAGTTTTACTCACGTAGTAGACTGCCCTTTGCTTTCCCTTTTCTTCTCTGACTATTACTGCACTCGCTGCGTGTTCTGACACTGCCAAGTATAAGAATAGCTCCTTTCCAGGCACTGGATTTGAGAGAACTGGAGCTGTGGTCAAATACTTCTTCAAGTCAGCCAAGGCGACTTCGCTCTCTTCTGTCCATAAGAAGTCTGTGACTTTTTTTACTAAGCTGAAGAAAGGTTTACACTTATTAGAGCTTCTACTTATAAATCTGTTTAGGGTTGCAGCCCTTCTAGTCAACATCTGCACTTGTTTTGCCGATGTTGGGCTCTTCAATTCTAAGATGGCTTTAATCTGATTTGGGCTAGCCTCAATGCCCCTTCTGGTAACCAAATATCCTAAGAACTTACCAGACCCTACTCCAAATGCACACTTCGATGCATTAAGTTGAAGTCGATATGTCCTAAGGATGTCAAAGACTGTCTTCAAGTCTTCCAGATGACCTTCGGGTTCCTTGGTCTTCACGACCATGTCATCTATGTATACCTCCACAGTTTTTCCAATTAGATGCCTGAACATCTTTGTCACCAACCTCTGATAAGTTGCTCCTGCGTTTTTTAGCCCGAAAGGCATTACTCTGTAGCAATATAGCCCTTTTGGGGTGATGAATGCAGTCTTTTCCTCATCTGGGGGGTACATAGCTATCTGATGGTACCCCCTGTAGGCATCCAAGAAGCTCATCCTTCCATGCCCTGAAGTGGCATCCACCAATTGGTCAATCTTGGGTAATGGGAAACTGTCTTTGGGACAAGCCTTATTCAGGCTGGTGAAGTTCACGCAGACCCTCCACTTACCATTCTTTTTCTTCATAACCACTGTGTTTGATAGCCATGTCGGGTAATTTACCTCTCGAATGGCTTTGGCCTCTAGAAGTCTATCTACTTCCTCTTCTACTGCCTCAACATGCATTAGTGTCGGCCTCCTTGCCCGCTGGATGACAGGTTTGGCCGACCTGTCTACATTTAGTCTATGGCAAGTGATCTCGGGGTCAATGCCTGGCATCTCGTACGGTGTCCATGCAAATTCCTCAATGTTTGCTCTCAAGAATGCCTCTAACTCTTTTTCCTCTTCCTCGGCTAAGCCCGTGACGAGAAGGAAGAAGCGTTCTTCATCCCCTTGCTAGACAAGGATTTTCTTCAGAGCTTCTTCACTCTTCTCGACTGGCTCTTTACTGACATCATCCTGGACTTCCACATTCTCGTCCTCAATCTCCGTTGTTTCTGCTTCTCGTATGTTGCAAATAGACTTCATTGCCGCCATGGAGCAATTCTTTGCCTGTAACTGATCCCCTCTGATCTCCTCTATTCCATGCTCCGTTGGGAACCGCAATAGCTGATGTAATGTTGAGAGAACAGCCCCCCATTGCATGCAGCCATGGCCTTCCCAAGATAACGTTGTAAAGGAAGGGGGTGTCAATTATGGTGAACTCTGTTTTTAGCTTCTTGGTGCCAGCCTGCACCTCCAAACTTGCTGCCCCCAGGGGCCACGTTGGCATTCCATTGAACACAACCATTGGGCCATTGGACTGCTCCAAGTCATCTTGGTAAAGGCCAAGCTCCTTGTAACACCTGACATACATGATGTCACAAGAGCTGCCTTGGTCAACTATGATGCGCTTCACTTGGCACTCCCCAATCTGGAGAGATATTACCAAGGCATCGTTGTGTGGATGTTGCACTATCTCCAGGTCTTCCTCAGTAAAAGACACCACTGGTCCCTGGCTATTGTCTGCCCTAGGCCTCTTCTTGCCGACCTGATACACATGTTGTAGGTGTTTTACTCTCTGGGTTTCTTCCCTTATCTCATTCTCTTTTATCTTTGAGTGAATCACATTGATCACTCGAGGTCTGCCTTCCTGCAGTTATGGTGCTGGCTGGGGTGGTGCCGTTGGTGCCTGGGGCAGTCTTGTCTATTCTTCCCTTGTCCTGGCCTCGTCCACCAGGTCCTTTAAATGGCCTTGTCTTACCAGGTATTCCAAATGTGTCTTCAGGGCTTTACACCCCTGAGTCAAATGTCCAGCCTCATTGCGGTAAGCACAGTGCTTGCCAAGGATTCTTTCCATAAATTCGCCTGGTATCCTTGCTGGTGCTCTGTAGTAGGGCTGATTTCAGATATTTTTCAAGACTTTGTAGATAGGCATTCGAAATACGGTTATGACTGCCTGTGCAGCCCTTAGTCCTGTCTCTGGTTTATTGTATCCGCTATCACCTCGGCCTCGCTTCGGCCAGCTGTTTTTCTTCTCTGGTTTTGACGCCTTTGTCTCCGGCGTGTCCTCCTCAGCCCTGGCATATCTCTCTATCCTGGCCATAAGCTCCTCCATGCTTTTTGGCAATGTCTTTGCCAATGACTTTCGAAGCAGGCAATCATTCTTGAGGCCATTCTTAAAAGATAGGACTGCCACCTCCTGGTTGCATCTGGGGATATGGTTGAACACTTCATAATATCTTTTAGCATAGGCCCTAAGGCTTTCGTCCTCGCCAATTCTCAAAGCCATCAAGGCGTCCACCCTCAATGGTTGTAGTTCGTTTGTCACGAACTTGGCCACAAACATCTCGGCCAGGCCTTCCCAGGTTTTCACAGTTCCTTTTGGCAACTTGTGAAACCAATCTGATGCAATTTCCTCGAAGAAAGAGGGGAACACCTTGCAGAGCAACGACTCGTTCCCAGTGTACAATGCCATCAAGTTTAGGTACAAGCCAACGTGAAAGTTAGGGTCTGACTTACCGTCGTATATCTATAACCTCGGCATACTGAAACTTTTCGGGGCCTCAAATTTTTCCAACTCCACCAAGAACGGTGTTCTCGACTTGGCCGGAGAGGTTACCTCGGCATCTTGTTGCTTCCTCTGGTAGTAACCCCTCAGATCCTCCTTGGTCCGTCCGGGAGCTCGGCTATCAATGAATTTCAGCCTTTTTGGTGTACTACTTACAGTATCGTTGTGAGTCCTTTTGGACCTCTCTCCATTGGTTGCGTCGAAACATAGCTCATTCCCCTGAACATGCCGATGTTCTTTGGGGTTAGCTTCTTTGGTACGGTGCGTCCTCCGTGAATCTCCCCTTTTTGATTCTCCTCGCCCGACCTCCCTTGAAGGCCGGTGAGAGTGTTTCTCGGTTCTATAGTGCTGAGGAGTCGTAGGAATTGTCCTCTGCTCCCCTAACTGGGCATCTTTTTTGGCAGCTGGAATTGGCGTATCTTGCAACGGGAATGGTGGTTGCATAACCTTGTTCTACATCATGAAATTGATGACCGTTTGCAGGTCCGCCAATTTGTTTTCTAGTTCCTTCATCTCGCCGTCCCTCCGTAGGCATCTATCTTTCCATACTTAGATGTCGTTCTCGTTGTAATACCCGCCTCGGTCTGATTTCTTTGTTATGTCGCCTTCCTTGCCAACGTCTTTTTCTCCGTGATTCTTATCACGAGTCTCTTTGTTACAATTGTCTTCTTCGATGTCAAGGTCAATAGGTTTCCCACTCCCAGTAGGAGTGTCGTCTCTAACCTTCTCTTTCTGTCCGTTATTGGCCATCTATTCTCTTTTCTTTCCCACAAACGGCGCCAAATTGTGGGTGTTGATTTCTAACCACACTGCCAAATTAGTATTCAACTGGTGAGCACTGGCAGAATAGGTGATGCCTAAATGACCTGTAACAAAAAGAAGAGATTCCGACGGTGGTTCGTTCACCCGGGGGCACTCTGACGATCAAGTCAGTTATCTCTCAAAGATAGCAAAAATGCTTAACTCACTATTCAGAATACAAAAAGCATACCTTTAGACCCATGAGGGCGCCTCCCTTTTATAGCCAACACAATCCTGGTCCCAATAAAAACCTAACATCAATGGACTTTGGATTATTGCTAATCTTGGACTCCCTGTAGGATTGGGATAAACTCTCTAAGAGTCTTATCTTTATCCAAACTGAAGCATTCCCTCGTTCTAGGACTCTTGTCCCTTATCCACTTATCCCAGACTCCGGTATCTTCTGAGACAACCTCGGCCTAACCGAGATCACCTCGACGTCATGATTAGGACACGTGGCAGCTCAGCTGACATTTCGATGCCACCTCGGCTACGTGTTACCACTCAAAAATTATGTCCCCACATTCACCAACCTTCAAATTAACCTCGTACTCTTACCATTACAAACCAATACCATGACGAAATTCACATTGCTTCTTGTTTTCCCATTGTTCAACCTCACATCCCTTCCATATCTAGGGCATGCTCAGTCCTCCTGCAACAGTCCATGCCAAACCTTAAACAACTACAAAGCAAACCTCGTCTGCGTCGATCGACAATGCAAGGACGACCCTAATGCCAAAACTCAAATATGCAGTGAAAGCTCTTCTTTCCATCCGCTACCTTGCAAACAAACAAGCACAGTGAAATGCCAAGGCCAATCGTACCCTACATACAAGTGCTCTCCTCCTATCTCATCCTCTACGCCAGCCAAGCTTACTTACAAAGATTTTACTAAAGGACGACCCTTAAAGTGCGATGGCAAGTTCTGTTCCAACAAAGATCCAATCATTGCGTTGTTGACAAGCTGGTACAATGGTGGCTCAAGGTGCACGGCGAAAAATGGGAAGAGAGTGGTGGCGAAGGTGGTAGACGAATGTGGCTTGAGCCGCAATTGTGATAAGGAGAATAACTATGAATCGCCGTGCAAGAATAACATAGTTGATGGATCGGATGCTGTATGGAAGGCTTTGGGGCTAAACAAGGAGAAGGGTGAAGCTGATGTTTTTTGGTCCATCATCGCCTAATTGATCATGTCGTGTATTACAACAATAAATAAGCTGCTCGTTTTTTGCTAGGCTAATTATTTTAATGGTCTTCATAGTTTGAGATTTGTATCATTTTAGTTCTTAATTTTTTAATTATGATATATTTGATCTTAAATTGTGAATCTTGTTCCAAATAAGAACAATTAAAGATATCATTGTTTAATTTCAAGGGCAAAGTCGTCAATTTAATAAAATATAAACTAATTTGACAAAAATAAAAGTCAAAAAAATATTTTTGAATTTTAAAAATTATTTTTACTCACCAAAGATAAAATTATGTAAAATTGATAAATGTTTTACATATTTATTTATTTATTTATTTATTTAACCAAATTAATTTTTATTATGTGTTTGGATAATGATCATGGAGTCCAATCCCCCCTTTCTAATCCCTCTAAACAAACACCCCCTAAAACCATTAAGACTGTATTTTGTTCATAAATTTGAAAAAGAATTTAGAAAGAAAAATAAAAAAACTATGTGACATGTTGTCATTTTTCATTTACTTTTTCTCATTACCTTTTTAAATTATTTTTTAAATTTATGAGCCAAATACAATTTAAGGTACATCTCTTAACTTTCACTAATTATAGGAAAATGATTGGTGGCCCTAAAAAAATTGGCCCTAATACCCCTAATTTCCAGTTTTGGAAACTGTTCTCTTTTTTTCTTTCTTTTTTCCTTTTTTTTTTTTTTTTTTTTACCTAAAATGGAAATTTCGGGCAATTCGGGGCACGGCTTTCGGGCCCTCAATCACCGCCCTTTAATCAAATAAATGTTACTTTTACAATATTGATTAATTAGTGATAGTGATGTTGTCATCATTATATTTTATATTTTCTCCTCTGAAAAGATGTGCAGTATAGAATGTGATAAACTTATCCTTACTAGTTGTTTTATTTTTTGGTTGAATTTTCAATTGAATCAAATTGGTAAAGTATAAATATTAAAGATAGAATTGATTCAATTTAAGCTACAAAATTAACACAAAGACAAACATAATTTGTAGGAGTGAACAAATATTAGGCTGAACTTCCGTTATACAGTAAAAGTGTAAGCGAACCCTAAACTTACAAATCTCAAGTCCGCTATATGAATTATTTTGTATTTTGATTTTTTGAAGTCTTTGACCATTTTAATAATTATTGAATTTGGAACATTAACAAATTTCTGTTGTAAAATTTGAACCTTGAATGATCAAAAGAAAAACTAACGGTTTGAATGATCAAAATGAAACTCGAACAGCACGTCTAAATTACAAATTGGAGACAATCTAGGTTTTTTTTTATTAAAGCCCTACACTTCTCAATTGACGATGTTTGTTCAATTTTTTAATCTTTTTAAGCTAACAAAAATAATATCACAGAAAAGGATATCTTCAGTCCAAGATGTAGGAGCTTGTACATCCCAAATAATGTGGCACCTTAAGATTGGTTAAGAGATTATATATGTATTTGGAATCTTGGTTATTTTAGGTAACTTATATATTTTTTTTTTTGTAATTAAATCATTATCTAAAAATATCAAATTTAATTTTGGTAAATTTTGTATGAACCATCACCTGATTTTTTTTTTTTTTACACGATCAAATTATTCCACAACTGTATTACACAATTACTATCTGTTGAAAATCTATATACATTGGGTAACATTGTATGTCATTGACATATAGAAAAAAAAATTCTCAATTAAAAAAAAAAGGTGTCATTTTTTTAAAATTTGTTTTTAGTGAAAAAAACAATCAAATTTCTTTACAAATATTTCCAAGTGATCGTATCCAAAAAAATTAAAATTTTGATTAAAATATGAAAAGTTACTAAAAGCAAAATAAAAAGTCAAAATTATTTTTCAAAAATAAAACCAAACATTCTTATTTTTGTTAATAAAATTCTACGACACACAATGGTGTCTAATGTATATAAATTTTCAACCGGTACTAATTGTGCAATATAATTGCAGAACATTAATCTTACAGAAAATAAACAAATAAAAATCAACTGATAAGTCCACCAAAAATTGCCAATATTGAATTTTATATTTTTAAATAAAATTTTAATTACAAGACTCATAAATAAGTTACCTATTATAAGTAGGATTTCAAATACAACTTTTATCGAACTGTGTAATCTTGTGGCCAATTATAAGGTAACACATTACTCCAGATGTAAGAGTTCATATATCCTAAGTTTGAAAAAGAACACCGTATATTTATTTTAGATCAGTAATTTTTAACTTATATTGTAGTAAAAAAAATTAAAAAAATCATTTTCCAAACAAACTCTAAATCTGTTGGAATAATCTTTTGTGTAAATAAAATAAATCGAAACAAACTCAAACAAATAAATAAATAACATACCGGATTTATTTATTGAACCGAATTAGAAATTCAAAAACCAAGTCGAGTGTGTGACACTCTGTCCTTAAGACAGATTCGCCCCGCTACGATACTTACGGTTAAGTGACGTCTATCTCTCAGGATACAATGATCTTCACAAAATTGTTGTAGCACACCAAACAAAATTATACGGCGAACCAAACCTTACGTTCTATACTCTCTTAATATTTATTCCTAAAATTATATATATGAAGAATAAATGCACTAGAACAAAATGGACAGCAAATTGAAATATTGCAGACTGAATTTTTCAGATACCATGGACTGCTGAAAAATAATTGTATTTATAGGCAAACAACAGACCCGAACAGGTATCAAAATAAGTGAAAAGGTGCACACAAAAACTTGAATAGGTGCACCCACTAGATAACCGTTGCTGGAACATTTTTTCCAATTCATTTGAAAAAAGTACTGTTGGTTTGTGGAACACTTATAAACCTGTTGAACTTTATTATTTAAACTAATTGGAATATATATATATATATATATTAAACAATTTGAATAGTTTAATAAATAAAGGAAGAGGTACAAACTTTAGGAAACTACTTAGGAACCCAAAATTTGAATTTAGAATTAAATTAAATTCCAACAATTACAAATTTTAGGAAACCACTTAGGAACCCAAAATTTGAATTTTAGAATTAAATTAAATTCCCGTAATAATTTTTATTGAAAAAATTCAAAAGAATTTTATCTAAAAAATTAATGTTAAATTCGAAAACGACGTCAACTTCCCATTCACTCATAAATGGTTTTGACGTTCCGTCTTCACCGTATGACTTGCCACGCGGCAAAGAACACGTCACCTCTTCGGACCCAACCCAAAAGACGTTTGGGGCTCACTCAATTTTGGGCTCAAAGTTGGCCCAAAATATACCTATATAAACCAATTTTTCCAACAATTCCCCACATGAATGGAATTTGACGGAAAGAAAATGCAACAACAAGATCTAAATACAGAGAGTACAGAAATTGGAAATATTCTGCAAAGGATAGGTAACTTTTGGCTTTGAACCTTCCCTTGTGAGACACTATCGAATGTACTAGCTAAACAGTGAACATGATGTCTTGAACTGTTCAGCCGTTTGTGTAAACCAAGACAATAGAACTCACACAGTATATCTCCAGACACAGTTTAGTTCTCACTATTGTGTTCATTTTGGCCCTGAACAACCTGGTCTTTCATGAGTGCTTTAGAGAATTGTAGCTCTTCACAAATCTCATAGAACCGGCCCAGTTCACACTCACATAAGTGATTCTTATAAAGAGTATCCTGCCATACTCCACTAGGTTTACCTAGTTATAAGAATTATTAAAATTTTACTTAACCTCAAACGCTGCAGACATCACTATTTCATCGAAGAACTGGGTAGGAGTTAGACTCCCCAATGATCCTTCTGAGTCATTCACAACTCGATTGTCCCTTTGAACCTAGATCTTGGGTCTCCAGTCAACTAGGTTGGGTTGCCGTTGTGATAACTCTTATTTAATAGGCTTAAGTCCCATTCCCCTCGATGAATTCTCAACTAACTCTCTTGTTAACCCTTTGGTTAGTGGATCCACTATGTTGTCTTTAGACTTAACATATTCTATGGAAATAATTCCATTAGAGAGTAGTTGTCTCACGGTGTTATGTCGACGACGAATGTGTCGTGACTTACCGTTATACGTATGACTCTGTGCTCTACCTATAGCTGATTGACTATCACAATGTATGCATATAGCAGGCACCGGTTTTGTCCATATTGGAATATCTTCAAGGAAGTGGCGAAGCCATTCTGCCTCTTCCCCTGCTTTGTCTAAAGCTATGAATTCTGATTCCATAGTAGACCTAGCAATACAAGTCTGTTTAGAAGATTTCCAAGATACAGCCGCTCCACCAAGAGTAAAGACATACCCACTGGTGGACTTCGAGTCTCTAGTATCCAATATCCAATTTGCATCACAGTATCCTTCAAGTACTGCTAGATATCAAGTATAATTAAGCCCAATGTTACGAGTAAATCGGAGATATCTAAGAACCCTTATAATTACTTTCCAGTGTTCTACTCCTAGATTACTTGTATATCTACTTAATTTACTTACTGCATAAGCTATATCTGGGCGAGTGCAGTTCATCAAGTACATTAAGTTTCCAATAATTTGGACATACTCTAATTGAGAAATACTTTCCTGTACATTCTTAGAAAAATATAAATTAACATCTACGGGTGTTCTAGCAAAATGATCATCATCTTTACTGAATTTGTCAAGTATTTTCTCAATGTAATGAGATTGTGACAAAGTATATCCTTCTGATGTTTTAGTAATTTTCATACCAAGAATTACATCAGCAATGCCCATGTCCTTCATGTCAAAATGTTTATTCAACATTTTCTTAGTAGTTTTAATCATATCATTATTACTACATATGATGAGCATATCATCTACATAAAGACATACAATGACATAACATTTGTCTGTGTTTTTAATATAAACACATTTGTTGCACTCATTAATTTTAAAACCATTTGACATCATTGCCTTGTCAAATTTCTCATGTCATTGCTTTGGCGCTTGTTTTAAACCATATAATGATTTAACC